AGGCACCTGTCTACTGGGTGACGGGCACAGCCTGCGCCCCTCCTCTGGCCACACCAGCTGGGCCACCACAGCTACTGGCCAGATACAAGCACAGAGCTACTTCTGCCTTTGCCGAGGACAAGGACTAGGCACGGGGAAGGTGTTGCACTAATCTAAGCAGGCAGGCACCTATAGACCACCGAAGCTTCACAGTCAGGCAGGCAGGTCCCAGGGTGCAGCTCTCCAAATGACTTGTGTCTGCCCCCAGCAGGAGGCCTACCCTCCACCTGCCATGTCAGGATGCTGACCATCCAGGAGCCAGGCAATTAATACCAAATCCAGAAGCTGAAGAGGCAAGCATGGTGGGGAGGCAAACCTGCCACCCACAGGGGACCCCAAGGCATATGGACACGTATGGCCTGCAGAAAGGGGGCAGGCAGTGTGGCAGGTGAGCTAGGGAATGGGCCAAGCCACAGGGCATAAAGCTAGAGGGACTTTCCAGAAAAGAAGGGAAAGAGGTCACAGTGTGGAGAACCTGGTAGCTGCAGGAGCTCTGAGAAGCTCAGAACAGAGCAGGAGAACAGTGGGACCCACATGTGCCCCCAGGGATAGTCACGCAGGGCCTGTTGGGAGGGAGTGCACGTGTGACTTAGGGGACCACAGTCACTTTAAGCTGTCCTGAGGAGAAGGCACACAGTCCTCTGGGTTCCCTGGCCTGGTCACTTCACCAGGTCCTCCTTGGAGAGAAGTGGGAAACCCATATTTATTCAATGAGCCTGGATCTTTCTAGATGCATAGATAACCCTCAGCATCCATGAGGTGGGCCTGTCACCACTTTTTGGACAAAGGGACCAAGGGTCAGAGAGCACACACAACATATAACTTGGGAGCAAGGAAACAGGGTTGACCCCACTCCAGGCCACGGGTCCCCGTCTCACTGCCAGTCAGCCTCCCCACTTGGGAATTGGCAGGAGTAACAGAATGTGGTTGGTTGTGGAAGGTTCCACACAACCTTCATCAAGCACGCACTGATGCCCTGCACCATTTAAACGTTTCACATCTGCTAACAGTCTCAAAACTGCCAGAACTTAAGAGACAAACATGACTGCTACCTCCTTTGACAGACACAAAGCACAGGCCCAGAGCTATCAAGAGCCCAGGTAGAAGCTCCCAGCTGGTGAGCAGCAGAACCCCAGGCCCAGGCTCCTAACCACCTGCCCCCCCTGAAGCCTATAGTTCCCAAACTAGGGCTCCTGCTCCATCCTAGCACTCACAGTCTGCCAATCATAGGCCACATGCTCAACCTCCCCAGCTAGTGCTCCAAGCTCTCACCCACAACCCGGGCCTTTTCCCTTTGTCACCCATGGTTTCCACAGCCCCCTAGGCTGTCAAGATGGAAACTGATCTCTGGGCATCCCAACCTCCTGAGAAGAGGGAAGGAAGGTCTTCCCCAAGTTTCTTTCTTGGGGAGTGATTCTGTGGTCACCATCCTAAGGCCTGGGAAGTCAGCACCACCTGTCTTGGTCAAGGTGGCCTGGAATTCTCTAAACATCTAGATTCAGCAGGAAGTGCAGGGTGACCACATTCCCTGCTGAGTCCTGGACATGCGAGTGGGTACAGGCTCCCAGATTTGCTTGATGCCCAGCCCTGCTGCAAGAACCAGGAGACCAGAAAGGACTATGCACAGCTCAGACAGAGGCAAGAGGGCCCCACATGGACTTCAGGATCTCTGCTAGAAACAGGATATGGGAGGGACTTCCTGTACTGTGGGACTCTGAGGCAGGGCCTCTAGCCTCAGGAGCCCTGAAGAGCACTGAAGTACGGTCAGCAGGACTGGGGTGGGACCAGGTAATCTGCATTCTAAGGATGGCCTGGTGATGCTGGTGCTATCCCAAGGCCACCCCAACAGTGAGCACACAGCCTTAGTGCCCTCGTGTGCAGGAAAAGGGGAGGGGAGGGTCATGGGAGGGGACTACGATGTCATGAAGTGAACCCTGCAGCAGGGCCCAGGGCCCTGTCACTCCCACTCATTCCTAGATGGGGACACTCACCTCTTGGCTCTGAATGTAGGGTGCAGGGGTAGGTTTTCCTGTCTTTGCAGCACCTCACTGACCTGTGCTAGCCATGTAGCTGACCAGCCTGGAGTCCCAGCTCTACAGACTGCCCAACAGCTTTGTGCCTGCCTGACAGACAGTGGGGTGATGGCTCTGGACAGGTAACAGATTCCCTAGCATCTAGCAGCTATCAGAGCTGCCTCAGGGCTCAAACACAGGACAAGTAAGGGTTCCGTCCACTCTACTCCCTCCAAATACTGCTGGGGACACCCTCAGCCATGGTTTCTACTCTATCTGCTGGATCCTTGGCTGGAGTCCACAGAAGCAGACAGAGACAGACCCCAGGACTGGGTCCCAGAGCCCAGGGAGCCTGGCTATGCCTCTGCTGCAGCCCCATTCTTTTAGTGAGTGGGAAGGCGAAGACTCTTCTGAGTCAGATGCTCCCAGGCCTCCATCCAGATGGCTTGGACTGATGGGACACGTGTCAGCCACTGCAGAACTAAAAACCATATGGTAACAGCACCGCTTGCCTCTGGATGGAAGTGACAAGTCCCACAACAAGGGGCCAAGAGCCCAGTGCTTGCCAGCAGATGACCAGGTTCTGATCCAGCTTGGTCAGTCTGAGCTGAGGGACCCCACAGAGCTCAGAGATACATTTCCATCATCTGCTGAGTCACTTAAAATGATGACTGTAACAGTCACAAAGAAAGAAAACCATGACACACACTTAGAAGACCAATTGTGACACACACTGAGAAGGCCGATGGTGATACCCACTGAGGAGGACGACTGTGACACCCACAGAGGACAACTGTGACACCCACTGAAGACTGTGACACCCACACAGATGGATGACTGATACCTACTGAGGATAACTGTGACACAGAGAAGGATAATTGTGACACCCACAGAAAGGATGACTGTGACACCCACTGAGAAAAACTGGCATGCACTGAGGACAACAATGACACCCGTGGAGAGGGACTGTGACACCCACGGAGAACGACAGCTGTGACACCGGGAAGGCTAGTTGTGAAACCCACAGAAGATGGCTGTGAAACCCACAGAGGATGACTGTGACACCCACGGAGGACTACTTTGACATCCACATAAAAAAACTGATACCTACTGAAGACAATTGTGACACCCATGGGGAAGAATGACTAACACCTATGGAGGATGATTGTCACACTCACAGAGGAAGATGACTGTGACACCCACAGAAGATGGCTGTGACACACACAGAGGAGGACAGCTATCACACCCATGGGGAAGGATGACTGTGATACCCATGGAGAATGACTGTGACACCCACAGAGGAGGATGACCATGACACCCATGGAGGAGAATGACTGTGACACCCATGGAAGAAGATGATATGACACCCACAGGGAAAGGTGACTGTGACACCCACAGAGAAGGACAACTGTGACACCCACAGAGAACAATGACTGTGATACCCACGTAGGATGACTGTGACACCCACAGAAGAGGATGGCTGTGACACCCATAGAGGAAGACGACTGTGACCCCTATGAGGATGACTGTGACACCCACAGAGAACAATGACTGTGATACCCATGGAAAACAATGACTGTGACACCCACAGAGAAGGACAACTATGACACCTACAGAGAAGGACCATTGTGACATCCACTGAGAAGAACAATTGTGACACCCACTGAGAAGGCCAATTATAAGGGGGCTAACGAGAAAACTGGCATTCTGTGAGCCAAGATGTCCCCTCCCCACCCTCCCACATCTAGTAGGCTTTCTCTCCAGGAGGGGTCAGCTCCTATGCCCCCACTCTGTGGGTGCTCAGTCTGCACAGGGTCAAGAGACCAGGGACACCTTCCTGGGTGGTGTCCCAACAGGCAGGGCACATGGGAGGGAGGGAGGAAGGGAGGGAGGGAGGCCGAGGAAGCAGCCTGCTGAGGGACAAGACTCACCACAGCCTCATGGGATCTTAGAGCACGTACTAAAGAAACTGAAAGGCTGCTTGGTCACAAGAGGATAGAAGGTTGGCCGCGAGGACAGGGCCCCACATGCATCACCTTTGCATTCAGCTGACACACAATAAAGCCTGTCTCAAAATGAGAGTAAAGGAGGGTCTACTTCCAAAGCAGTGCTGTTAAAGTAGCTGAGAGAGAATGAGAAGGAAACTAACCCAGGTGAGTCCGGTCAGAGAAACATAAACACAATGGCATGCGGGTCATCAGCTCCAGAGGGATGACTCGTCTGGTTTCATGGCTACCCTAAAACCCCTGAAAGAGTTACTGCATGAAATGATAAGGAGCAGTGATCCCCAACCTTTTTAGCATTGGGGACTGGTTCCATGAAAGACGGTTTTTTCCATGGAAAACTGCCCCAGGGCAGGGGGTGGGATCAGCAGGCATTAGATTCTCATAAGAAGCATGCAACCTAGATCCCTCACATGCACAGTTCCCAAAAGGGTTCATGCTTCTATGAGAATCTAAAGCTGCCGCTGATCTGACAGAAGGCGGAGCTCCACTCACCCACCATTCACCTCTTGCTATGCGGCCTGGTTCCTAACAGGCCACGGACCAGTACCAGTCTGTAGCCCAGGGTGTGGGGACCCCTGCTCTAGAGAGTACATGAAGCGCTCATTCAAATTTAAGAAAAGTGATCAAAACTGCCCAAATATGCAGACAAACAGGAAATCAGTGAGGATGGAGAAAATGGTTCCATCCTGTTCGTCACCAAAGAAGCCCAAGTTCCCATGGCCCAGGTCCCACTTGGCCACCTGCCAGGTGCTCCTAACAGCAGCAGGTACTACGTACCCAGGAGGAGGTGAGACGCAGCCTAGGGCAAAGCCAAAACCACAATCTCCTGTGGGACCATCCTGGGAAGCAGAGAGCAGGAACCCAGCACTCAAAGACAAAGCATACAGTGACCCTGAAAGTTCTCAAGTGGGCTACCTCATGCCCTCCTCAGGCCTGTCCTCACCTCTCCTGACAGAGGTGACGCTCTGTGCATCCAGTTCCAGCCTCTGCACCAAGGCGCTGGGGTCAATCTTGGTCCTGGCAAAGATGTTGGTGCTGACGAATGTCCAGTCCTAGTGTCCCCAATGAAAAGGAGAGAAAAAAGAGGCGTGAGACTTGTTGCAGTTCAGGCTGAGACGCAAGGTGCAAGAGGACGCCAAGGTGCAAGAGGATGCACAAGAAAATGGCCCCTGCTCCCCAGCCAGGAGGCCCTGAGAAAGCACCCTCCCCACCCAAATGGAGCCCTGGCCTCGGAGCCCTAAGGCTGTGGGTGGTGTCCCAATCCAGTTCCTCCCTGCCTCAGGTCCAGGATCAGTACCAACCGTGAACAACCATCTCAGGGTCCACATTTGCTCCCCACCCTCCTCCACAACACTCTCTATTCCACAGCCACTGTCTCATCTGCAGCTGCTTCCTGAGCTACGTTCCTCCCTGTGAGGAGACCTCAAACCCTCTGAAGTCATCTCCTACCACAGTGAGAAGCCAGAATCCCGGGCCCCAACTCCCATGCCACCCAGCCCAAGCAAGCCCAAGCCCATGACCTTCCCAGGGACCACAGCATTGACCGAAGGAGGGTTTCTCAAGGACAGCAGAATGCATCACTGCATATATACCACTCTGGCAGAAGGCAGTTAAAAAACAGCAAGTATAAGAAGGGCACTCTGACTCTCTTTCCTGAAAGCAGGCGATACAATTCCCACACAGAAGATGCCCTCTCTCCACCAGAAGAAAAGCACATTCTTATCATAAAGGACCAAAGTCAAAGCTGAAGAACTGTCAAGCAGAGATGATTAAGACAACTCCATCCTCCAGGCCCACACAATCTAGTGAGTTTTCCACAACCACCTCTCTTGGCTCAACCCGCACGAAGCAGAGAATGTCTGATGCTTCCATGGATCTTCACCTCCTGAGGCCCATGTCATGTAAAACATACATTAAATACATGTGCATGCTTTCCCCTGGTCTGATGTGAGTTCATATCTCAGGCCTAACCAAGAGGCTCGAAGGAAAAGGTGCAATGCAGTCTCCCCAATGCTGCAGAAAGCAGGACAGGATGGTGGTAGGGGAAGAAGCTCTGCAGAACACCAAGAGTGCCGACTGGCCTGCAGCTCCCTGGTTGCCCCAATCCAGAGTATCTGAGGGAGCAGCCAGGGTTCTTAGGACTCAAGAGGAGACAGAAAGTCAGTAAATGAGAAAGTAGAGACACACAGGGGAGTGGCCTGGAGGCTGGGGATGTTTTCAGGTGGGCAGGCAGATAGGTGGCTGAGGAGGCGAAGTTGGGCCAAGGACTCAAGGGCAGACAGGAACCACCCAGGGGTGGGGCAGACTGACAGTCTTCAGGATCCCAAGTGTACTTTTATACATGCAACTGCTTTTCACACTGTAACTGGGCACTGTTTTCCACAGTGGCACTTCACATCTCAAATGCATGCTTGGATCTTAATATAAAACATGCTGATGCTATATTGTTTCAGTGTCTCAAAGATTGCAATGTCATCTGATCAGAAATTAGAAATCATTAGAAACCCATCCATTCCATAGTCAAGCTCATATTTTCCATGTATGCAAGTTCTGTTGCTTTTTTTCTCCAAATCGGCCTAGTCTTTCTATAGGCATTTTGTCCCTTCCTCTTACATGATTCCTTAATTGTGTTTTTAATATTTTTAGACACACTTATTTTCTAGTCTCCACCTGATAAGTCTATCTTGATTTCTTAGCAGTCTATCTAGTTCCAATGCACATTCCTCCTGCTGATCTGGTTCACGGTGGCTTGTTTCCTTATAACTGTGGCTGCCATCCTGTGCTCAGCAGGATTTTGCCTGCTGCTGGAATCTCACCTGGCCTGGCCAGCATGGAACTGAAGGCCAGGGCTGAGGAGCTGGCAGTGAGGGTGGCAGACTATCTCCCTAACAGACAACCACCTCACTGGAGCAAGTTACAAATCTCACTGGAAACAGCAGAGGCAGCAGCCATGGCCTGTCCTTCACCCCCTTAGAGACACACCCAGGAACTCTACCCCTCCCTCAAGTCTGGGACTATAATTCTGTCTGGGAAGGGAAGGGCAGGCTGTCATGGTCCTCCCCCTCTCCCCATCATGTAGACTAGGCTCTATGCAAGCAGGTGAGGCCAGGGTACTGGAAATCCCTTGTTCCACCCCACCCTAGGGCAGAAGCTCTGCCCAGGGAGGGACCTTGGAACACTGGCTCCTTGATCAGCCCCATTCCAGCTCATTAGCAGAATGAAGGTGTCGATGACCCGTAAAAATTAGGGGTACCCCCCTCACCAGCAGAGAGGGACATCATCTGAGAGCTGCTGAAGCGTTCTCTGCCCCATTTCTGGTGCTCTAACACAGATCCTGCCCAGCCAAGGTAGGCCATGAGGAGCTCCACAGCTCTGCATCTGGAACCCTATGAAGAATGCCATGCCTAGGGGTGCTGCTGGAAAGAAGGAGCTCAGGTGGTGAAGGAGTCAGAGGGCAGGCATTCACGCTTCCTGGGTATAGCAGTTCCATGCTGAAGCAGCCCAGGCAAGGTGCAACAGACTAAACCAAGAGACAACACAGCCAAGAGCCCTCCTGAGGTCACAAGCAAGCCGAAGGTCTAGGCTGCACCCATCACAGCACTCCCCAGGCAAACATAACACCGGCAAAAGTCCCACTGCATGGGGCTCAAGCACAACTTCTGAGCAAACACCTGCTGAACAATAAGCCTCTCTGACCCAGGAACAACCCCAGGAAGCAGCATTCCTGGCAGTCTAGAGGCTGCATGCAAGTCCAAGGCTGCACTCCTCTCCTTCCCCAGTAGTGAGCAGAGGGAATTTCCAAGCTACTAGTTCTTGACCGTGTGAGGGTCAAAAACATAAACTCCCTGAACTTGACAGCAGCCTCCAAGTCAGAGGTATACAATGGCAAAAGGCAAAAACCCAACTGGCCAACGAGATGTAAAAACAATCTTCAGGCTGGGTGCAGAGGCTAATACCTATTATCCCAGCACCTTGGGAAGCTGAGAAAGGAGGACTGCTTGAGGCCAGAAGTTCGAGACAAGCCTGGGCAACACAGCAAGACCTCATCTCTACAAATAATAATAATAAAGAACAATTTTTGACCAGTAAGTGGTTTAAGCTGACCCAAGTAGCCAGGCTACAAGATAAAAACAGGAAAAACAACAACCCCCCCAAAACGAGATGACACCTCAAAAGCAGCACACGATAAGGCGAGGAAAGAAAGCTGATCTCACATGGTTCAGACCTAGGTTGACAAACAAGTAAAGTGACCAAGCAACATCAAAACCTCTGTACTAGCCGGGCTCGGTGGCTCAGCCTGTAATCCCGTGCCTTTGGGAGGCTGAGGTGAGTGGATTGCCCAAGCCCGTGGGTTTGAGACCCGCCTGGGCAGCGAGACTTCATCTCTACAATAAATAAAAAAATCAGCCGGGCATGGTAGCGCATGCCTGTAATTCCGGCTACTTGGAAGGCTGAGGCGGAAGGATCGCCGGAGCCCAGCAGGTCGAGGCTGTGGTGGCCAGAAGCGGCCACTGCACTCCAGTCTGGGCGACAGAGTGAGACTCCAACTCAAAAAAAAAACAAAAAAACCTCCATACTACAATACTTAAATGTCCAATTTTCCACAACAGAAAATGATACATTCAAAGTAATAGGAAAGCACAACTCAGACAATAGTAGTTGTTTTTGAGGGGTCCAGGTGTTGGACTCAGCAAATAAAGACTGAAGCAGCCATTATAAGTAAAAGAGACCAAGCCAAAGAACTAAAGGAAAGTATAATCACACTCTCACATCAGAGAGTATCAGTAAAGAGAGATAAGAGAAAGGAGGAATCTTTCAATAGAGAGGCTCAAAAGTAGATTTGAGCTGGTAGAAGAATCAGTAAACCTAAAGAAAGACAGATTATGCCATCTGAAGAAAAGAGAAAAAGTAAATGAGCAGAGCTCTAGGAAAAAAATGCACAGAGGCTTAGAGCAGTGGGACACTATTAAGCACACCAATATCCATTATTTACAATGGAAGTACCTGAAGGAGAAAGAAGAGTGCCAGAAAGAGGCAGCAAAAAAATACTCAAAGGAATAATGGGTGAAAATTTGCCACATTGATAAAACATTAACCTACACATGCAAGAAGCTCAGTGAACTCCAAGAATAAACAAATTTCAACAGAATAAATGCAAAGAGCTCCACACCAAGATTCATCATAGTCAAAATGTTTAAGGCAAAGGCTAAGAGAAAAGCTTGAAAGCAATAAAAGAAAAGCAACTCATTGCATATAAAAGGAACCCCAATAATAGCTGATTTCAAATCAGAAACAAGGAGGTCAGAAGGCAATGGGACATGTTCAAAGTGCTAAAAAATAAAAACAGTCAACCAAGAACGGCATATCCAGCAAAACTATCTTTCAAAAATGAAGACAAAATGAAAACATTCTCAGATAAACGGAAGCTGAGAGAATGTGTTGTTAGCAGATCGGTCTTTCAAGAAATGCTAAGATGTTTTTTAGGCCAAAAGCAAATGATACCAGACAATTAATTACACACATACAAAAAACATAAAAAGTGCTGGAAAAGATAAACATATAACCATAAAAGAATAATTATAACTTATGATTGGGTTTGTAAGAAACATAGACATATTTTATATAACAACATAACAAGAGAGTGAAAGGGAAAAGAGCTAGACAGGAGTAAAAGTTATCTAGCTCACTGGAATTAAGTCATATACATCAGAAGCAAGTGTTGGTATATATTGTAAGCTCCACATCAACTACTAAAAGACATCCATAAAGAGCCCACAGAAAACATCACACTTAATGATGAAAGGCTAGATGTTTTCCCACCAAGATGAGGAACAAGATAAGGATGCCCACTCCAAAGTTTCTATTTGACATTGTACAGGGAATTCTAGCCACAGCAATTAAGCAAGTAAAGAAATAACAGGTGTCTATATTGGAAAAGAAAAAGCAAAGCTATCTTGTAAACAGAAAATCTTAAGGAATTCACAAAAGACTAAGTTTCCCAAGAAATCTAAAAAAACTAATAAGCAAGTTCAGCAAGGTGTCAGGATATGGGATCAATATACAAAATTCAATTTATTTCTATACAACAGTGATGAATAATCCAAAAATAAAAAATAAGAATGCAATTCATAATAGCATCAAAATGACAGAATACGGGCAACCCCCTTGGGTCCCTTCCCACTGTGGGAGCTTTTCTTTACTTTTAATAAATCCTGCTTTCTAAAAAAAAAAAAAACAATAACAAAATACTCAGAAATAAATTTAATAAAAGAACTGTAAGAGGTATACACCAAAAACTACAAAACTTTGGAGAAATTAAAGAAGACATAAATAAATAGTTAAAACATCTCTTGTTCATGGGCTAAAAGGCTTAATATTGTTAAGATGCCAACACACACACACACACACGCGCGCGCGCACACAAAGATGTCAATACTTCCCAAAGTGATCTTAAATATTAGATACAATCTCTATCCCAGTTGCCCTTTTTTTGCAAAAATTGACAAGTTAATTCTAAAATTCATATGGAAATACAAGGGACACAAATAGCCACAACAAACTTGAAAAAGAAAAACAATGTTTTAAGTTTTACATTTCCTGATTTTAAAACTTCCACAAAGCTACAGTAATCAAGACTATGTGGTAATGAAAAGAAGATCAATTTCTCAACAGAATTGAGAGTCCAGAAGAAAATCTATATATTTATGGTCAATTGATTTTTGACAAGGTACCAAGATTATTCAATGGAGAAAGAATAGTCTTTTCAATAAATGGTGCTGGGACAACTGGACATCCACATGCAAAAGAATGAAAATGGACCCCATATCACACATCATAAATAAAAATTAACTCCAAATGGATCAAAGACTATTTAATCTTGTAACATATGCCATGTAACACCTAAACCATAAAAGTATTAGAACAGATGTCCTTTGATGAAACAGTTTTTTAGATATGATGCCAAAAGCACAAGCAACAAGGGAAAAAAGATAAACTGAACTTCATAAAAATGAAAAACATGTGTGTTTCCAAAAACAGTATTAACAGATTGAAAAGACAACCAATAAAATCAGAAAAAATATTTGCAAACCATATATATAATAAGGTATAATAAGGGTTTAGTACTCAGAACATATAAAGAACTTTTACAACTCAGCAACAAAAAGACAAAGAACCCAATTTAAAAATTGGCAAAAGACCTTGGAAAGATACACAAATAGCCAAGAAGCTCATGAAAAGACACTCAACATCAGTGGCCCTTAGAAAAATGCAAATCAAAATGACAATGAGATAACACCTCACATCCACTAAGATGGCTATAATTAAAAAGATGGATAATAACAAGTGTTGATGAAGATACGGAGAAACTGGAACCCTCATACATTGCTAGTGGGGACATAAAATGGTGCAACCACTGTGGAAAACAGTCTGGCAGTTCCCCAGAAAGCTACCAGGTGACCCAGCAATTCCATTTCATAAGTCCACAGAAAAATCAGTACATGAAAATTCACAGCAGTATTATTTATGATAGCCAAAAGTGAAAACAACCAAAATATCCATCAACTACTGAAATGATGAGCCAAGCATAGTATAGTCTCATAAACCGAAACATAATTCAACCATAAAAAGAACTTAATACCACAAAGAGAATGCTACAAGGATGAACCTTAAAAACATGCTAAGTAAAAGAAGTCAAACACAGAAGGCCACATATTGTATTATTTCACTTATATGAAATGTGCAGAATAGGCAAATCTATAAAGACAGAAAGTAAATTAGTGGTTGCTAGAATGACTGATGGATGAATTTTATGACACGAACTACACAAGAAAGTGTTTCTTTCTTTCTTTTTAAGCAATGGCTCTGGGAGAAGATTGAGTTTAAACATCAGCTCTTCCACTTAGTAGCTGAGTGTCTTTGGTGATTGATTTAACTCTCAGATTTCTCACCTGTAAAATGAGGGTTAGGGCTGTCCTGAAGGTGTACACTGTCCCAGCACACAGCAAATGCTTAGTATGATGTTTGACCAATAAGTTCACAAACTCATCCTAGAAAAAGTGCTACATACCTCATTGCTAAATATCATTATAGTCACCTTTGAAGTACTCCCCTTGGGAAGCTATGCACCAATGCCAGCGCATAGTCTACCATCAAAGTAATTTTGGAACTCTTTTTCTGAAATGGCCTTCAGAGCTGTCATATCACCCTTGAAGTCCTGAATGTCACCAAAATGTCTTCATTTTAATCTTCAATATTTACCTTCAGGTAAAAAAAAAAGTCATTGGGGGCCAGGTCAAGTGAGTAGAGAGGGTGTTCCAATACAGTTATTTGTTTACTAACTTAAAACTCCCTCATAGACTGCTGTGTGAGCTGGCGCGTTGTCATGATGCAAAAGTTCCCTTAGGACCATTTTTGCACACATCTGTCTCATGTCAAGATTTTCAGTTAAGATTTCCTTGTTTCTCTATTGATGTTTATTTGCTCTATTATGATTTTCACGGTCAGCTGATGGCTGTGACACACAATGCGATGAATTTTTGCAATGTTTTCATCAGTTCTGCTTGTTACTGGCCATCAAGACTTCTCTTCATCAGTGATGCTTTCTCTCCCCTCAGAAGAATGTTTAATCCATTTGTACATTGCCATTTTCTTCATGGTATTAGTCTCATAAATTTGAACTATCATGTCTCTGATTTCATGTCAACTCTTGCCAAGTTTAACAAGAATCTTAATGCTTGTTCGTTGCTGTAATTCAAACTCAAATATTCTTGTGACGACAGCTCTGATGGCCATTCAAGAAAGAGTTCCCAAATAGTTTTGACGGGTGGATTAGCCACTGGCATTGGTGCATAGGTTCCCAAGGGGAGTACTTTAAAGTTGACTGCAGTAATATTCAGCAATGAGGCATGTAGCACTTTTTTCTAGGATGAGCTCACAAACTTAATTGTCAGAACATGTAGATGACAGTTGTATGATCCTAAGCCATGGCCCATAAACAAACAATGTCTTCTCTACAACTCCCATGAGAGCCCCTTCATTACAGACACCAGCAAATGCTGCCAGGGCAGCTCAATGATCAGCATCTAGATTTTTTAAAAATGTGGTCTATACACAGGTGGAATATTATTCAGTTTTAAAAAGGATCGAATTACCAACACATACTACAACCTGGATAAATTCTGAAAACATTAAGTACAAGGAGCCAAATACATAAGGTCACAATCTATGATTCCATTCATATGAAACGTCCAGAATAAAGAAAGTAGTTCAGTGGTTGTTTAGAGCTGGTAGGCTGGGGGAAAAGAGAGCTGACTGCTAAAGGTGACAGGGTCTCACTTCAGTTTGCTCTCCGTGTTTCTTTAGTACTGAGAATTTCCTTTCCTGGGAGCGCAAGAAGATTTTAAGGAACCTTTGTTGTATCCGTGTGGCATCTTGTACTGCAGTGGGAGGTTCTCTAGCTCTCTCTACACACCTGGTAGCGGCACAAGTCAACCCTCCTAAGGCTGCAGCCACGGGAACGGAGCCTCGGAATCCATGACACTGCGCGAACCCAGAAGGCCGCATCAGCCAGGAAACAAACACCGGCAGAGCCCGAGGGTGGCCTAGGGTCGCGGACCTTTTGCGGGGCCTTCCCGGGCCCCACGCAGAGCCACGACCTGGCTCTGAGCGCCCCCCGGCCCACGGCGGCC